GTGTATAGTCACAGAAATAGATGGCTATAAATATAAACATATATGTACACACAGCAATATATGACTAGGTACACAGAAGAATAAATACATGTGTGTTTGTATATGCACACGGGTAGATGTGTATATACATATGTATGGGTTAAAGAAAAAAGCACGTGTGTATATGTATATCTAGTCATAGAAATAGATAGCTATACATATACACACGTACACAGAGCTATATGAATAGGTATACGTGTGCACTAGTAGCTATGTATCTGTCTGCATGTGTATACAAACACGGGGGGGTATTTATATACATACGAGTCAAAGATACACACACACGTGTGTCTGTATATGTGTGTGTGTGTGTGTGTGTGCATATCTAGTCACAGAAATAGATGGCTATACATATGCACACGTACACAGAGATGGGGAGGTACATACATGCATATGTGGGTGTGTGTATATACAGATGTGAGAGAGAAAGAGCAGCTGTGCCATATATATCTCTCTATATATATATCATAGTACTTTGGGTCGGGAGGGACCTAAACAGCTCATCAGGTCCGACCCCCGTGAAGGGCCACTGAGGCAGAGGGCACGCCAGGTGCCATACCTGGGTGGGCTCAAACCACCAACCTGCTGGTTAACAGCCAAACACACTGAGCCATTGTGCCAAAACCAGACTGAATCCAGTTGTTTGGTGGGTCCATGGCTGTAGTCGTATAAGTGCTGGGGAATTGAACACAGCTCTTCCATGTGGCAGACAAGGATGCTACCACTGAACCAAAGGGGACTTGGTACATGTACACACACGCGCATGCACACGCACGCACGCGTGCACGCACACACACACGTGTAGGTGCGTGGGTTGGTGTGTATTTATATACATACATATGGGTGAACCAAAAAAATAGTGTGTGTGTAACGAGTCACAGAAATAGATGGTTTTACATATACACACATGTACACACAGCGCTATATGAAAAGGTACACACATGTATGTGTGTGTGTATGGGGCACACTATATCTGTGTGTATACAGCCATGTATGTGTGTACTTATGTACATAAATACGGGTGCGAGAATGTGTGTGTGTGTGTGTGTGTGTGTGTGTGTGTGTGTGTGTGTGTGTGCGCGCGCACATATAAACACATGTCTATGTGTAGATCTAGTCACAGAATGCGTGTGTACCTTTTCTTATCTCTGTGTGTACATGTATAGCACTCTCCTTGGATCCACCAATGTAGATTTGGGTGAGGCACCAATTTAGAATAGATTGGGAATGATTGAGGGGCTGAAGTTGCACAGGATTTTTGAAAAATCATCTCTGTATAGCCTTCTACCATCCAGGGTCCCTTTACTAGCATAGTCCTCACTAAACTCATTTGGGGTTTGGGCACCTTCTTGGGGTATCCTCTGATTCCCTCCCCCTCACCCACCCCCATAAACTTGGAGTGACTGCACACATGTACGTGTGTGTGTGCGTGTGTGTGTGTGTGTGTGTGTGTAATATATATATGTGTGTGTGTGTATGGCACATGCACACTCTCTCATCCATGGCTGTATATAAACACACACACACACACACATATGCATGTGTACATATTCGTATAGCCCTGTGTACATTGTGTATATGTATAGCCATCTATTTCTGCACACGTGTGTGTGTGTGTATATAGTGTGTGTGTGTGTATAGGCGCACACACACACACACACACACACACACACACACACACACACACGCTCTTACCCATATGTATGTAAATACACACACACACACACATCCCAACACAATGTGCCCCTTACACACATATATCTATGCATGTGTACCTATAGCTCTGTGTGTGTACATATGTGCCTGTATATGTATAGCCATTGATTTCTGTGACTATATACACACACACACCAACACCTGTGTGTGTGTGTGTGTGTGAGAGAGAGAGAGACTATGTATTCCCAATTTTTCCCTGTTCCCTGCTGGGGCCCCTCCAGCCCCCAGCTGCACATCCCAGCTGGGTCAGGGCCACATGGGGCAAGTGGGCACAGACCTGTGCCACTGTCCCTATGCAGCTGTGGCGCGGGCACAGCAGGAGGAGCGGGCACTGCTGGCCCAGGGCAGCCTGCAGAGTGTGCAGGAGCAGCTGTGGCAGTGCCAGGCCGAAGCTGTGCGGCTCCAGCAGGACGGGCGGCACCGCGAAGCCGAGCTGCGGGTGCTGCGGGACCGAGCTGCCACCAGCCAGCAAGAGGCCCAGCAGAGCAGGTAGGGCCTGGCCTCCGGGCATGTGCTTCAGCTCAGAGCCCCAGGCCAGGCGTCCCTCAGCCCTGCCCGTCACCCCCCCAGGGAGCTGCTCCAGCGCCTGAGAGAGGAGCTGAGCCAGTGGCAGGAGAAGCACGAGGCAGCCATGCGACAGGGCCTGGAGCTGCAGCAGGCCACGGCTACCGCTGCCCAGCAGCTGGGGAGCAGCCAGGAGCAGGCGCAGGTCCTGCAGCAGCAGGTGGGCATGCACCCCCCCGCC